CTAAATTAGCACCTCCTTAGATCCAAGAGCCAGTGTACCCAGTGGTCAGAGTGGGACCATCCAGATTACAATTCCTCAGATCCATAAGGGACACACTCAGGGGGCAGACTCAGTGAGCACCAAAGCCCCATTGAAGCAAGTCTTGCCCCAGAAGGGTGTCTCCAGCACAGAAGTTCTCCCACCATAGACACAGGTGATTCTCACAGCCAATTGGCCTGGAGGTCAATTCCTCCCAGTGATACCTACAACAATCAAGGCTTAACTACAACAAGACTGTGCACAAAGCACACAAGGGGGTGCACCAAGAGTGTCCACCTCAGGTAATTGGGGAGGCTGAGCCACTGGGCCCTATAGGACACCTAGCACACAAAGCCACTCTATCAACACAGAGAAGCAGCCAGTACCTGGACTAGAATGGTCATCAGAAAACAGGCACTAACAAAAAAATTATTCATTTCTATAGATTCTTTTAAATTTTAAAAATGAACTATATGTTAATAAGCACTAACTTTATAATCATTCAAAGTGCGTATACATTTTTGGGGGACACCCTGTATGTACCACAGCTTCTTTATCCAATCCTCTATGAAAGGACACTTTAATGTCTTGGCCACCATGAATAATGTTGCAATGAACATAGAGGTGCATATATCTTTGTGAATAAATGTTTTCAAAGTTTGTTTGGGGTTATTTTGGTGTTTTTTTGGGGGGGCGGGGTAAATACCCAGAAGAAGAATTGCTGAGCCATATGATAACTCTATTTTTAGTGTTTTGAGGAACTGCCATACTGTTTTCCACAGTGGTTGTACCAGTTTACATTCCCACCAGCAATGAATGAGAGTTCCTTTTTCTCCACAACCTCGCCAACACTTATTACCTGTCTTGTTGACAACAGCCATTCTAACAGGTGTGAGGTGATATTTCATTGTAGTTTTTATATTCATTTTCCTAATAGGTAATGATTTGAACATCTTTTCATATATATCTTGGCTATTTATATGACTTCTTGGGAGAGGTGTCTGTTTAGGTCCTTTGCCCAATTTTGTTTAGTGTTACCGTGTATGAGTTCTTTACTTATTTTGATATTAACCCCTTGATGCTACCTTGTATGAGTTTTTTATATATTTTGATATTAACCCCTTTGATATTAATTGCTGTTGTTTGCGATTATCTCCCATTTGGTTGGTTGCCTATTTGTTTTGTTGACAGTTTCTTTTGCTGTGCAGAAACTTTTTAGTTTGATGTAACCCCATTCATTTACTTTTTCCTTTACTTCCCTTGCCTTTGGGGTAAAATTCATAAAATGTTCTCTATGACCAAGGTCCATAAGTTTAGTATTTACATTTTCTTCTATGCACTTCATTGTTTCAGATCTTATATTTAAGTCTTTGATCCATTTGAATTAACTTTTGTACAAGGGGACAAACTGTAATCTAGTTTCATAGTTTTGCATGTAGCTTTCCAGTTCTCCCAGGACTATTTATTAAAGAAGCTTTCTTTTCTCCAATGTGATTTTTTTTTGTTGTTGTTGTTGTTGAAAATTATTTGCCCATGTGTCTGTAGTTTTATTTCTGGGTTCTCAATTCTGTTCCATTGATCTGTGTGTCTGTTTTTCTGCCAATATCATGCAGTTTTGACTATAGTAGCTCTGTAGTATAACTTGAAGTCAGGTAGTGTGATATCTCTGGCTTTGTTCTATTTTCTCAGGATTACTTTAGCAATTCAGGGTCTTTTGTGGTTCCATACAAATCTGATGATTTTTTTGCTCTATTTCTTCAAAAAATGATATTGGGATTTTGATGGGACTTACATTAAATCTGTATATTGCTTTGGGTATTATGGCCATTTTAACTATGTTTATTCTTCTGATTCATGAACATAGAATATCTTTCCATTTAATTATTTCTTTTTCCATGTTTTTAATAGTGCTTTGTAGTTTTCAGTATATAGGTCCTTCACATCCTTTGTTGAGTTTATTCCTAGGTATTTTATTCTTTTGGTTGCAATTTCAACAGGAATTTTTTATTTCTTTTTCTGAAGTTTCTTTGTTAGCATATAGGAAAGCGGTGGATTTTTATAAGTTGATTTTGTATCCTCCAACTTTATTGTATTTATTTATTCTAATAGTTTTTTGGTGGAGTATTTAGGGTTTTCTATATACAGAATCATGTCATCTGCAACATGTGACACTTTTACTTCTTCCTTCCCAATTTGGATATTTTTAAGTTTTTCTCTTGACAGATTGCTCTGGCTAGGACTTCCAGAATTACATAATACTAGAGGCCCAGTGCATGAATTGGTGCATGGGTGGGGTCCGACTGCCAGCACTGATGGGGGCCGATGGGGGCCAGGCCAGTGGGGAGAGGGGGCCCAGGAGGTTGGCTGGCTGGTCCCGCCCCCGATTGGGGTTGGGGGGGTGATCGGGGTTTGGCTGGTTGGGGGGAGGGGCTGCAGGAGGTTGGGAGGGTCCAATTGGCCCCCCATCGGGACAGTTGGCCACCACAGTGTGCGTCATAGCGAACAGTTGCTCCAGTCGCTTGGCTTTTATATATATAGATTTGTAAACTACAAGTGAAAAGAAGAAAGAAAAATCACCTCCCACTCAGAGAAAATCATTGTAAATGTGTTGGTGTTTATCTTTCCAGGCTGTTTTATATGCCTAAAAATAGGATTATCTTACATATACTATTTTGTAGCTTGCTTTTTAAACTAATAAATATATAGAGTGAACATCTTTTTATTAACTATTCTAAGTCAACACCATTTAAAAATATATATATTTATTGATTTCAGAGATAA